CTTCTTTTAATACTACAGTCTAATTACCATTATCACAATTCAAACTTCTTGTAAAAAAATATATTTATGGATTAGATATTAAATATTTGAAATAAAAAATACTTGAGACTGGCGTTGTGTATTATCTAATAAATCGCCGTGGAGGTGGCCCCATCTAGCGCCCGCTTCTGCAGTACTCATATTTCAATTTGCAGTTAGCTAATATCACGAAAACGAAACGTTAAAAAATGACCCGTAGACCGCAGTAGTGTCAAAGTCTTTCAACAAATAAAACGCCTGAAAAATGTATGCATAGGCAACAAGGCAGTACCTTTAACAATAATTCATAGACATAGGTACAATATTATGATGTTAAGATATTTTAATGGTTAGAATGATTTAATATATAATTAAGAAAACTTATTTTAATTTCGTAAATTATTCAACTGCATAACAAAAATTGTTTTTTTCATAATAGTTATTAAATATCCACTATTAGACACAGATTCGTGGTGACTTGACTGTTATAATTGTGGCGATATTAAAAATAAGCCCGCGAATTGAATTAATGACTGGTTTTATTTTACATGCTTAGTTGTAAGTACCTATAGGCTCTATATCATTATACACATAATAATGTCGGCATCACGCCTTGGCCACTGATTAAATAATCAGTTTCAAAACCTTAACAACCAACAATAACATTATTTGACAATTCTTATAATATGATCATCTTTTGCATTAATTTTATAACACTTTGATTTTGAACAGTGTGGCCACCGGTTCCAGTAGCAATAGTCAAAAATTGTAAAATAGAATAGTAAAGTGCTTTTCTATTAAATAATTTATATTACCAATGTTATAAATTATATGACCATCAGTGTCTTAAAAATCAAAACTTCAGATGGGATGAAACCATTAAAACTGTATTTGATTATTTGTATGTACTATGTATGGTAACTACTACCAAAAGTCACTGCTATTGCTATAGTTTATTTTTCATTTCGTTAAATTGACCACCTGTTCGATTAACTTTTCGGAGCCTCAGAGGGATTCTTTACAAGTTTATCCAAATTAAATTATTTAGCCATGGCGTCCAATTATGTCTGATCGTGGTTATAGCCAAGAGTATAAGCTCTATAGTAGAACTCTCTGCCAAAACCAGACAATACCATTTTAAGAAAATATTCAGTTGCACATCATTATTACGAGAGTTGATTTTCATAGGATTGAATCTGAGTAGTTTTGCTAAAAAAAACACGATATACAATGCATGGGTATTATATAATATTATACATTATTTTGAATCTAGTTGCATCAGATTTCTAAATGAGCATATCTATTATCAGCAAGCCCATACCTAAAAACATTTTTCTACTGAAACACCACTGGGTTACAGGCCTGCAATAACGACAGGGCCCGGATTTAAAATCCCTATAAAAATTAAATGCTTTTAAAAATAACCAAAAATTACCTAAAAACTGGTATTTCAAAGCAATTACAGTGGAATCCGCTTATTGTGGGCAAACAGAGCTGGTTCCAATACAAATGTATATTAACAATGTTAATTCGGTTTTTATGGGCAACCGCTTAATGTGGGCAAACAGGGCTGGTCCCAACGTGCCCACATTAAGCGGAATCCACTGTATACTCTTAAAAATGACCAACATTTTTTAATAGGCTTAAAAATACGTAACCGATAGGAAACGACGGTTTAATTTTTGGAATTTTTAACACTTAATATTTATCTTAACTAAACTATAACAATAAAACAAAAACCAAAAATATGCCAAACTTAGGCACACAATAAATTAGCAGCTGTAAACTGGAAACAAATGCGATCGACATGTATTTCCAACTGACCAATAATATTATAGTCGTTATTTCTTTAATTACCTCTAGATATAGCAATGAAGTCATTATACTAATGAGTAATAATATTAAGTACTATTTTGCTGTACCTACTTTGTGCAGACCACACACATTCACAACTAGAGCTGGAGATCTTACCGTCGGGCCCTCGCGATAATTTTGTGCAAACGTCGAGGCATGTCGCTGTGAGTACGTCCTGTAACATTTATAAATAGTTCGGAGACTGCGTAAAAAGAACCGTAAAAAAAATTATCGCTCCTGATCCAAAATAGTGTAGCGGAGACAGTTAGACGGTAGCAGGTCATCGTTTACCGAGGTACATAATATCATAATATTATATTATTATCATGTCGTGAGGGCACAACAACGACGACGACAAGGACTGTAGAAATTAAAAACACGATGCAACAATAATATTACTGGTCTTATTTCGTATTTTATTATAATATATATTTATATATAAAAATTGCGAACATTTTTTCCTAACAGTAAACATTTATTATTTACATACACACGTATAATAATAATAATATATTAAAGATTTGTTTTTATATAAATATTAAGCTAACGTCACACACACACACACACACACACAAACATATATATGTGTGTATATGTATCATCATGTATATAAATTAAAAGTGTGCTAGACTGTACGACATATATATATATCATTTTTCTCCAACGCTGTTTCGCGGGCGTCGTCAAGTACAAAAAAAAGAAATGAAAAAAAAACATATTTCGTGTATTTTACAACATATAATATATAATATTTAAATTATCAATTCTTCCCTAGGTACACAGTATATATTATAACAATTTCATAGAAAATTTGTTTTTAAAAAAACATTTATTCGATTAGTTTTTTTAAATAAATCACATCTTATCTATATATCTATATACCTATGTATATAATAAATTCCTTTCGATTTCTCGTTAATTCAATCATATGCCGGTTCACAGTCTCTAACGGAACGTAAAATTTAAAGAAAATAAAAGGAGAGAACAAAAAAAAAACATAACATCAAAAAACCTTCCTACGAATTCGTAACCAGTATAATAATAATAATAATTTAAAATATATTGTAATAATCACACATCGATGTATTACAATAAAGGCCTTGTCCTTATCCGATCACGATTTAATTGTTCGTTTCGTCTGGCTTTATAAACTGCCCAATGCAATTCAAACAACCATCCGACAAATACCTCAAACTCCAACCATGACTCTCAACCCCCCCCCCCCCCCCCCATCCTAACAACACCAGGACAAACGTATGCTCGTCGACAGGGCATAAAATAATAATAAACTGTGCATAGCACATTATACTGCGAACGGCCGACCGAAAAAAAAGTACACATATCTTAACAATACGACGTTAAACGACAAGTGGCGAGTATATATATAATAATGTGTATATTATTGCAGAAAACAACGAAAGAAATAAAAACAGAAAGAAAAAGTTAGAGAGAAAGAGAGAGATAGAGAAAAAATTTCGTTTCGTTTTAGATTTCATATTTACTTGAGCAACATTGGAAATATAATAGGTACGAGCAAACCGACGACGGTAATTTATAGTAGTAATAACAATGTAATAATATAACAACAATTATTGTTATTCGCAAAATATATTTTACCTAATAATAATAATAATAATAATAATTCGCTATCATATAATATCGGTGCTGTATGTTATTAGGTAATGGTACATGGTATGTGGTATAGTTAAAGGTTTTTAAAAAACGCGTTTTACGAAAAATTGACGAGACGAGTGATAATTAATTAAGAATATTGTATATTTTCCTCGCGTCTTGCGCGTCGACATTATATTGTATATTATGTACGTTTTGGTTGGTTAAATTCATTTTTTTTTTTTTTTATAAATAACATTGAAATATTTATTAAGTCATTACTATTATTATTATTTATTAATTTGTTTAAAGGACGTAACAATTATAATGGTAAGCACTTTCGTTGTGATTACCACTATATTTAGACCGTGTATAGTAATATTTTTTATAATATAAAGTCGTCTATTTTTTGAGCTTTTACGAGTAGTTTCGCGAGCGTTATTAAAATAAAAATATATAAAATATACATAATATATTATCGCATTATTATTAAATGTGTTTAAGTACGGATTATATTAAAAGTCTGTTTGTTATTCGTTTGGTTTCGTTTGAGGCGACGCGAAGGTAAGATATTATTCGATATATAAACATCCTTTGCCAACGGCTTTGTCCAAGTTAATGGTTCACAAACACATTAAATCCTTAAAATTACATACAAAAACAACAAAATAAATAAAAGGAAATAAAATAATAATTTTAACTTAAAAAAGCATACAAAAATAGTTCGAGAAAAAATTGTACACAGAAATATTATTACACATAACATTAGTACCTACATAATATTTTATTTTATTGTGTATATATATATTATATATATATGCACAAGAATAATTAAAAACTTACACCAACAATATAATATATTATGACCTTACAGCTATTCTTATAAATTATGGTTATGTACAGTAATAAGGGGTTTCGTTGACTTAAGTTGAGAAAAAAACGCGTTCTCGGAACAAAAATATATATATAAAAAAAAATGACATTCGTAATAATTATATTTATGATAAATGGTAAAAATAAAACTATACACACACGTATATGCGCCGTGTGCATATAATAATAACATTTTCATTTTATTTTATTTTTTGTTTTTCATTTGTTCCGAATCGAATTTATTTTCCTAATTAAAATAATAATATAATAATTAAAATTTTGTACACGTTTCGAGATTTGTTTTAAATATATATAATATATACTAAAAACGTAGAGATCGGTCAAACTAACAATAATTAATTTATATAATATAATATATATATATATAATTTAATAACTTTACGTTTTATATTTATATATATATATATATACATATTTTTGTTTTTTTAAATTTTTTTTTTTAACATTAAATATAATATATTTTTTTAGTATATAATATCAATAATATCTTCTCGGTTAATTATTGTCAGTCTTTACACACACACACACATACACATATACACTTGCACACAGTTGGCGGTTGTAGCAGCATATAAGCCACACAGCCAGCAGGGAGTACATCAAAATATATTATTATACAAATATTATTATAATATTATATATTGTTCAAACGGTAGCAGCGACGACGGTGGCGGCACATACGTTCACGAGAGAAAAACATATAATAATATGAAAAAAAAAAAGAAACACAAGTTTTTGCGCGATATTTACACGGCGGACGAGTTTGAACTCGGATAGTGCAGTATGCCAGTATTCTATATACTAATACAATATATGGTATATAATAACAGCACACGCACGCACATACATTCATCTTATATACAATATGTTATATACACCATAGGCAGGCCAAATCTTACCTACGTACAGTAATGGTAATAATATTAATAATAAAAATAATAAAAATAACGACGAACTGGCGACAACGATTCTGCACCCGAGGTTGAATGAATAAATTATAATATAGCAACTGCGATGGTGAAGATGACAATATATAATATATTATCACGATGTCTTTGGTCGTTTTCGGGTTTAAGCACATTCTCATGCGCCGGAACAATCGATCTCGACAATGTCTTTGGGAACGTCGACAAACTGGTACACCAGTCTTTGGCCGTCCACTTTAGCAAGAATTCCCCTCTGGTAGTAATACCTGTGAACGAAAAAACGAACGAACGGTTATTGATGTGGATGCATTACATTATGCGTTATCGAGATCATTATTGATGAACAATGAATAATGATAATAATTCGTTCTGCAGTCTCACAGAGTCATCCTAAACGGTTTTGTATTCGTGAGTGTAAAATTAAACTTTTGAGTATTTTGAAACTTTGTTTGGAATTTAATATTACGTAGGGCAGTTTTTTTTATTTCAAGTACGCGAAACAACATGAGTTAAAAGTTTTGATCAACGATCGTGTTCAAATACTAAACGAACATATTATTATTTATTACAGTTTGTTTGTTTATTATTATACGAGTATTTTATTGAAAAAAACCTAAATCTGTAACAGAGTAAAACTAAATTTTTAATAGGTAGCTTATTATTAAAGTACATACAACATAAACGAACTTGAACTGTTTTAATTCGAAAGGATTGAAAGATCTGTTCGAGAGGAGATTGCTTTTAAGGGAGGGGGAGGGAATCAACTTGGCGAAAATTGAATTTTGATCTTATTCTCTAACAATTAACATAATAATACATGGGTACACCTTTACGGCTATACTCCACACGGAGACAAGCGGGAGAAGAACATTGTAGTCACATGTCATACGGAAATCGGTGGCGTTCGCGATATGTGCGTTCAGTTCCTAAACATACATTTTAAGTACCTATCCGGAAATGCTAGGACTTTGGAACCTATAGTATAGCTCGATAACATACATGTATTTGATAATTTTCACAAATAGCTCGACGTAAGCGGAGTTAATTAAAAAAATTAATTCGAATTCGAATCGATAACAGAATAATGCATACTTCGATAAAAGAAAATCAATTCGTAACGAACATGTATTATTATAATAACATATTATAATGTACAATATTAAATTCTAAGCGTTTTTGTTGGCTGCTGCATATTAAGGAACATTATTAAAATATTATTACGTTATCTCTAACAGACCGTCGTATATAAAAGCAAACGCGGTGTTTACAAACAACGTCTGGTCGTCGAAAGCGAATTAATCGATAGATCGATATTATTACATACCTATCGGCTATTAGATAGGTAAGAAGCCAGTGCAGCTGTATATATATAGTTATGTTTAAATGTTTTATAATGTTATTATTTATTATACAGCGATCGTTACTGATTTATTCGAACGTTGCACGTTGTGCACGTGCGGCGTTACCAATATAATAATGTAATAATACAATATCAGACTAATATACCGCCGGCAAGTGTGTAATACAACATGAACATATAATACAGCATAAGTGGCTATTACTAGTTAATATTTTTGTGACAGGATTTCCATACACTTAATATACTAAGAGGCTGATATTTGTATGCATTAAATTATTTTTATAAATGAAAAATGTTAACGTCTGTTCCATCCTAACCTGCATGGAATAACATATTATGCAAAAAAAGTGTTCTTTATAGCGCTGAAACTGTCTGTATCGCAAAATTAACAGTTTACCAAATAATAGTATCAATTTGTATTGAAATGTGCATTTCATAATTTTTCAAAAAAATATGTATACCTATTAACGATACACAGTATCTCATTCTTTAGTATCGAAATATGCATTTTGGTGAGCTAAAAAAATATGTCATAATATGCTTTTATTCGTTAAAGAATTCAACGTCATGAAAAATCATTCAGTTAACGCATAATCGTCCGTTCTCCCAAGTTATTGCTTGTTATTACTATAATATTATTGTATTGGAACCGTTTTTGATAGACTCTTTAATATCATAAGCAATAATAATATATGTTGACATAAATTCGTACCTGAGAGCACGCCCCATCGTTTCGTAGTTCATGTCGGGTTTGTTCTTGTGCTCTCCCCATAGCTTGGATACCGCTTTGGAGTCGACTAACTTGAAAACACCCTTTTCCCGGTTCAACCATTTGATGAACCTCGGGCAATAGTCGGAGTTTTGCAATAGTTTCAACAAAAATTCCCAAAGGTACGTCGTGGAACCTTAATACGAAAAAAAAACGAACATCGTTAGTATATAATATAACATTAATAACAGATCAATCATAATAATTACGCGATTTATTTTGCACATCGGTAAAATTACGAAACAATAATAGTTTACCTTCTCGGCTTTTCCTCTTGGGTCCCGTGGCTGGACACGTCTGCTGTTGGACGGCTCCCGGGGAACCGGCTGCAGACGGCCGCCCGACGCCGCCGTACTTCTTGGGCTTCTTGATGCTGCCGCTCTTGTTTCCAACAGCCTTTTGGTGGTACATGGCCGCGGCCGCGGTAGGCGCCCCAAAGTCCATGTAGTACAGATCGTTGAGGTTAGCCGCTCCGGCGCCGTTGGGCTGGTAACAATTGGCTTGGATGACGGACCCGCGACCGACCACGGTTCCGGCGCCAGGGAGTGCGGCCGATGGCGGGCACGGTGGCATGGCGAAGTGGCCGCCCGATGTGGGGCTGACCGCGGAACCGTAGCCTCCGACGGCCGATGGGTGGTAGCCAGCAACACCGCCTCCATAAGGATCTGCGTACGAAAAAAAAAATCAACGTTAGTAAAAAAGTAACTTAGCAATAACATATAATTTTAGGTATGATACACATAATTTGACAAAATATTTTTTCAAGCTTAAATATTTATATTTTATTTATTATTTACAACATAATATAATAATATTATATTATAGATGCGAACATGTATATTTAGCGGTCGTCTCAAGGGCGTTAACGAAAAACAAGTGTGCGTATTGTAACACGTGGTAACAGACGAAAAGCTGGTCCTGTTGTGTAGGTACTCTACGGACTAGAAATAATAATTAAACGATAAGTAAGCTACAAAAAAAAATACCTATATTTTCGGTTTTTTTTAGAATTATTATAGTGGCGCAGTGTTCTCGACCTTGGTTTTATTGCTAGGTACCTACCTAAATATATAATATCGGGACGGCGGAAGCGTCAAAACAATCTGCATAAATATAGTAGTATAATATTTAGTTCTACTAATATCCACTCATCAGGTAATATTTAATATTCCAACTGTTCGAGTTATTACTATTATATTGCTAACGTTTATTAATAATGTTTCGCCCGCGTTCACAAGTTTTACCTCCCGATAACAGTTTCTAAACATTCCAAACGCGTTTCTGCACAAAAAACAAATACAATCACCGTGCACACGATGTAGGTATAGTAAGTTAGTACTTCATTACTCGTTATTATTATTTTAAACAGACCGCCGCCGTATAAAATATATATAATATAATGACGTCGCGCGTTCACATTTTTCCCGGTTTTGCGCACGAGACGTCCTTAAAAGGACGCGGACGGACGCTACAAGACGCTTTAGCGAGTATACTGCAGTGGTGGTCATAATAATATACAGATCGCTGTCATCTCACTGCACCAGCTCACCAATAGAAATTTATCGTAATAATTCCGATTTTTCGATCGTCTGAATCCGGGAAAAGCGACAATTTCGAAAGTTTCTAAAGTGCGCGCATCATGATGATATTAGAGTATGGTTTGCGTCTCGGCTATCATATGCAAACAATACAATGTGACGTGTATATAATATAAACGACGAGTTTCGCAATCTCATTATATTTATTACATATACAATATACAATATACATGAGCCACGCACGCGGTCTATAGAGAGCAGGAAACCGTTGTGGGAACGACCGACGACGACGACGCAATTTCTCATTCAAAATGAGATTAAAATATTATAATAAAACGTCTCTATTTCCTATTATATATAGGTATACGCATTACATACGTCCGGACGTATTAATAATATATTGTTGTGCCGCCACCGTTCCGTAAACGGATTTCCGTTTCGTCCGGTCGGTGTTTTCATTTTTTTTTTTTATCATACTGCGGTCCGACCTGACGAGAGGCTTATTCGCGGACCAGTTTCAAATATGCCTATACGGACGTATACAAACAACGTTGTTACTAGTAACTTTTTGTACTGATTACAACATACATCGCATGCACGTCATAAGTAATAATTTAATATTATTGTACTGACGATTAAAACGGATCGTATAGGTTTATACATAAACGTGGCTGCGGTGCTTCCCCGCGCTAGTCCTCAACGACGAACCGGTGTCGAAACCCAGACGGCGGTATCCATATGCATATAATGTGTATTTTTTTCGTTCACCTTGAACTTGATCGACCTATCCTTCTCTCAATCTCAATCTCTCTCTAACACACACGTACACCGTGTGTATACGTCACGTCCGTCGCGATCACGGACGTATGTGTGTGCGCACGGCACAGTGCAGTGTTTTCGTACGTGCAACTAATAATATATCGCGAAAACCCTAATCACGTGTTACGTGGACGAGGAAATGTGGAATGATCGTTAAAACGATAGGTATCCAAAATAACTACGATAAAGTAGATGATACGATTATTACACAGATTACAAGCGGAATGAAAGAATGAACTGACTTTAATCGTTCACATTTTCAAATAGAAAAACTGCGGAAGTCGACTTTATCAGTAATTACTCAGTGTCCAATGTCCATTCCACCTTTGCGACGAGTTTGCGCAGGAATTCGAATACAGTGTCTCAATATCGTTACTGTGGTGGTGGAAGAAAAGGTGGCGATTGGGGTGTGCCTCTCTTAGCCCTCTCTAAGCCCCTCCCAAAATTATTCAAAACTTCCCTCAAAATTAAATTTATAATTGTTTTTGTTATGTAATTAATTGGCTCATTTTGTTTATGAATATTTTAACATCCCCTCGCCATAAAATAGAATAAAATCTCCGACTATAGCACATAAATACGCACAATATTATAACAATTGTGAGAGTATAGAGTATCTCCTATATTATTCCATAACATACTGTGATGTGCATATTTATATTCATAAATTTATAATGATATTACCAACTAAATTCATAAATATTCGAAATCAGTTCATTGTTTGTGGAACACCCTGTATTGTAAATTATAATAATAATATACCGTCGGTATCGTCTTTCCGGGAACGAAAACCAATCGACTTGCGCGCGCGTGGCGTCCGCGATTTCCGCGTTTCGCGCCCACTGAGCGCATACGTAATGTATATAAGCTGCTGCAGCTGCCGTCGCTAAATCCATCCGCCTGTGGCTCGCGAGTGCTATTTTCAGACCTAAGCACGAGCCCGGCCCCCGACGCCGTTATTCGCATTCCGCCGGAATCGGATGGTCGCCGTAGCTGTGCCGGGGCCTACCTCGCTGCGATTTACGTGCATCGTACGTAGCGAGCGTCCCAAGCGAAAAGTCGTATTATGTTATGGTCCAAAATTTTGAAATTCTATTAATCAATTTATTTAAAATGTTAGGATGATAATCCGAACACCAAAAAATACTGTACAAATCTGATCATTGCAGCTGAATAATGAGTAGAGTTTAAGGTTTTATATTATATTATAGGTATTCGTCAACTTTCATCACCCATAAATTAAAGACACTATTTTAAAAAGTATTGAAAGAATACTATAAATTATAGTCTATAACAGTATCATAAGTGTTGTCTAAAATGTTGTATTTTATCTCTCTACCATCGACACAAGCAATACGATTAAAAAAAGTAATCAAATTGAAATATAGTATTGTAATTAAAATTTGTAATTCATATTTATCTTTGAATTAATTAAATTTAATAATGGTGCTCGTCCATACCAATTTTATTGTCATCACTTATATTATACAGTGCGCTGGAAGAAACCGAAATTTTTTAATTTAATAATTTAATACGTATCGGGCGTGGTGGACAAAATGCGTTATTTCTCTAGAAATAAAATACGTCGTTGGTGTAGGTGTAGTCGATGTTGACGGTGTTTATTTAACGCTTTCGACAAACAACCCCGCCGAATCACAATACAAAATAATATTATAGTATACTTCCTGGTTTTATTGGCGCCGATTCGTCGCAACCAGTAATACTCGAACAATTGTCGATAATATAATAATATTGTGTTTCATAGGTATCGTTTTGTTGTAGCGGGTGTGAGAAAAAAAATGGATCTCGCAGCGGGGAGGAGTGGCGCGCAGGTAAACGTTATTGTAGATAGGTACCTTGTAGTGTTACTATGCGAAGAAGGAATAAAAAAAATTACCCGACAACACTCGGCGACGAACGCGGAAGTCATTTCGTGTATAAAAATAAAAATCGCTATCGAATGGAACGGAATTTGCGCGTGTGAGACGACGACGATGACGACGACTCCCGTGAAGCATCGTCGAAGGTCGACGGCGGCGGCGTCGACCACGTGACCGATGGGTTCTCGACGAGTGGCAGCGGAGCGTTACGCAACGGTGAAGGAGGGGAGGGGGGCGAGGCGAACGCTCGCTCGCGCGTTTTTTGAATAACAACATGTCGTCGTCGTCGTGCCTAAATTATTTTAGCGAAAATTCGTACTCTAGCCAAATGAAGGCGCTCGTATACGAGTAGACAAAGTATATAATAAGTTAATGCATGTGCACGCGTTTTATGTGCGTATTATGTATTAATAATATTTTTTTTTTTCATTTCATCATAATAATTATACGCACACGACGTGTGTCTTTTTATCTGAGTACTCTTTGCCGCCACCATCGTCGCTCCTATTGTGCCCGACGACGACGAATAATAATAAGGTGGAAAAACAAAATTATAAGCTACTCGCCGACGTCTGCAATCTTCACCTTACGGTGGCGGTGGTTATATTATTATTATTAATATTTAATATTATCATCGTGCCGTGTTTGTGTGTTTACGTGTTGTACACTTCCTGGATGCGATAACGCAACAATATTATTATATAATTGCACGCGGCGCTTCATGTTATCTCGAAATAAGAGCGCGCACGTCGCGATATAAATGCGTATAATGATTTATTGATCACATTATTTCGACAAACACGCCCGTGCAGCGTATCTATCTACCTACAATACGGTTTTATGCAAATTATATAAATTATTGCGCTGGGCGGTCGCGAAGTCAGTCGCGGAACATGATAAGGCTGCGGAAACGATAGTATAATATTATTATTATTATTATTATTAAAACATAATAATGTATTAAAAAATATAAGACGCGCGCTATCGTTGTGGCGAAAGGTCACGGGAGGCGATCGCATATCACGAACATTTCACGATCTACGAAAATCAGAATGGATCATTATTCATTATATATATTTAGCTATAGTGTATTCGATATCCATCTCCAAGTATGATAATGCATGTATGTGGTATTATTATAGTGTGCGCGCGAGTGAGAGTTAACCTTGAAGTGTTAGTATGTCATTGCTCTCTCTCTCTCACTCAGTCTCTTTCCTCTCCTCTTACGCGTCCGCGAGTCCGTCTCGCTCACATCTGCATATCGTTAGAATTTTGTAATATATATATTATACTCTCTCACTCTCGGTCTTTTGTGTATATAGGTACACAATATCCACCTCTGCACTCGGTCCGACGTCTATGTGTGTGTCTGTCTCTTTCTCTCTCCCTCTGCGCGCTACACGAACTCACATGCATCCGCGCCGAGGCGGTCACGTGACCACCGCACAGCGCCAGTTCTCCCTTTCCGCAAATCGCTAGAAAACGAAATAAAAAACCACCAATCGTCCTCAGGCTACGCCACCGAGACCGCATTGGCAAGTGGCAACACTGTAGAATGTAAACTCGTTTTCATCGCAAAGATTTTTTTTATATACATATTTATTATACTGTTCCAACTTGCGTCTTGCACACACAGAGCACACACCGAAAGCGGGCGACTTGCGCCAAAACAGCTATTACTGACCAACCGCACGACCAATAAATTTACAACATTCTCTCTCCTCTACCGCCTCTTCCAGTGAGCACAGATTGTTGTCATCGTTTCCTATACTGTTCACAAACGGGTATAATAGTACCTACACGAGATACGCGGGATAGAGAAAGAATATAAGCGTATAGACCGCGTCGTAAGCGATGAAACGAAATAGCAAAAACATTTTGTGGAATGAGTCATTTCGCATAATCTTTATTTCTTAACTTTTCGTCGATTTCGAGAAACATATTTTATATATCAAAATTAAGTTAACTCGATTTTTGTAGTCGTCGTTTTATCTGGGTGCGGTTTTACTTTTTTGTAATAGAATTTTATCAAGTACAAAAATACTTAAATAATAAAGTGCCTGTGAAATTTAATTATGACAACAACATTGATAACACTCACGGTTGTTTCGCATGAAAAGAGGATGTTTGGGCGACGGGGGCGCAGGACCGGGATGATGGTAAGCGCCGGGTGGCGGAGCGTTCACTCCGTATATCCTGGAGAACAAGTCCTGTTGCTGTTGTTGCTGTTGCTGTTGCTGCTGTTGCTGTTGTTGTTGTTGCTGTTGTTGTTGCTGCTGCTGGTGACATTGTGCATTGCTTGGTGGATCCGGACTTGTACGACGGCCGCAAGCAGAGACTGATTCGACGTACAGAAAACAGCGATGAAACAAAACCAAAAAACCAAAAACATTAATCTCTTGTCTTTAACACCATATGATAAAGCTATAAGCTTGTAAAAAATAACTATAAGGTGGAAATAGAGATAAAGGTTCAGAGTCAAAAGATCGGGGACAAGTGTTTGGAAGGGGGGGGGGTTAGTGCAATATTATAAAATATTGTACTTTATGCACATAATAAGAATATTATTATCGTAGTAGATGTGGAGGATGAGGAAGAGGAAAAACTTAAATATATAATATAGTCAGTTATTATTGTGAACATAATCTGACCTTGGTGGTGATACTGGTGCGGTTGAAGCCGAGCCCTAAGCTCCGTGTCTGTGGACGTGTGCCCGCTGCTGCTGCTGTCCACGTCGGATACACCGGAGTCCGCGGGGCTGGGTGGAAGAGAGCCTGAAACGAAACGAGAAAACACGTTCAGATATACAGTATACATACAAACACTTAATAATAAAATATTTTACACAACGCGTTCAAACAACGAGGTGCACACTGGTTTTTTACAATAAAATGTATATAATATCGTACACAATATGTTATGTACACGTTGTACATGTATGATAATGTATACGAATTACGAGTAGGTATACAGGTATACACTATACAGTGCTCGCAAGTATATTTATTATAGTACCTATTCCATATTATCTGCAAAAGGTGGGCCACTAGTTAAAAAGTTATTTTTTGCAACAAGTTAGTTAACTTTTTATTTAACTTCTTAACTACATTCAATTACTGTTAAAATAACTTTTTTAAACAAAAATAATTTCTTAAGTTTAAAATGCATGAACAACATTTTTTATGTATATTCACTTTAAACTCAACAAATTAAATTCTTTTTTTCCTAACTCAACTAAAATTGAGTAATTACTTTTAATAAACTTGCCCATCTCTGTACGTAATATAATTATATGTAAGCGAATACCCAGAATACTATACATATAACAATATGATATTAATAGGTATACAAGAGACAATAGTAGTCCTGGTCGGGTTGAGTTAGGTCGGGACGGTATTAATTCAAAACATGTAGGCGGCAATAACTGCAATACAAAACTTTGTACTCATACATTATAACCTGCTGTGACTATCGGATTCTAGCAGTAATTATAATATGTTTTCTCAAACAATTCTTACTTTAATAATAATAATAATAATAATATGTCACGACAATATTTAATAAAATGTGATCGTCCCGTCGTTGTAGCTCGCTGCAGGTTTTCGAGTAAAATAATATCATAATTTTGTTTTACACATCGATGACGTCGGATTTCTGGGGTTCTCGTCGACCAGTAGATTAAATCCACGATTTATTGTCAACACGCGAAGTGATAATATTTAATCAACACGTGTGTGTATAATACCGACACGTAACGTAATTTATTGTTATAACCTAATATACAATATTTGGCGCGTGTCGTGCGCACTATGCACATATTTAATATACATACAACATACCTAATACATATCGTTATAGGTATACTAAGATTTAATATTATAAATTATATTTATCATTTTTATGAGTGTGGTATGGGTAGTTTAAAGATTTATATTACAATTGGTTGTTATTTTCAGCCGTTTATGGGACGGATCGACCATGTCGATTTGTGAGCTAAACAAAGTGTCGTAAAACTCTCAGCGTTACGAAACGCACTAGAGAATTTTCCTTAAAGTATATTATACTAGACATCAGCTGTATAATAAACACATTTTGCGAATGTATGACTATATACGTCAGCGATATCTGGTTCACAGCTAATGTCTGACGATTTTTTATTATTATTTATTTATTTTTTGCTATTTTCTGTCGGCAGAGATAGAACACGAGGTTTTTCGTAAACAATCGGATATGCGCACGTTACATAATATATATATAGTACAATATAGAGTATACATATAAATATAATATAGTATAGACAAAAAGACTAGTTAACACGTAAATATATATTGAACAATTTGAATTTTTCGACGACGTAGCAATGTTTTAACGAGTCAACGGCCTTATAGAGTATAAAGATAATAATATAATAACAAGTGTAGTTTTATGTACCATATGATACATAATATATTTTAAATATTTTTATTGTTTTTGTTGAACTAGATTATTTGTCCTAGGCGAATCTATGAGGTGGCTGGGGAAGGGGAGAACTTGGCCTCATAATATATATTGGGATAATAAAAGTCATGAAAAATGTTTTCTTCAATACGAGGCATAGATAAATTGGCTAAGAACAAGTAGATATGTTGTAAGACTATTTCTCAAATTTGGCAAATGCTTGAATTTGTTGTATAGGTACCTATCATTACATAATAAGATTGTCATGTGTCGATACTAACTTAGCAAATATGGTCTTTAAATAAGTATATTTAAATATTTCAATGATCAAAATTTGAACAAATATAAAAAAACGAAAAAATTAGGATTGTGCATGCTTGGTGAATCGTACTGGATAAATATTATAATAATTTATATAATATATTATACAATCCATTCACCTACAAATATACCAACTTAGTCAAAGGGTGCAGGGGAAACGTGTGAAATGTCTGTGGATTAATAAGGGGAAATTATGAGAACTACATCACCCCCGATAATTTGGTAGTTTAAAGTTGCACCTATATGGCTATATGGTGTTCATGCATATTATGTGATGAGAAATGCGCCCGGAAAGGAAACGTCTGGTGGAGAAAATATTTAAGAGACACGACGGCGACGGAAAGTCCCAATAATAGTCCCTACTCCCTATAGGTAGGTACGAGTATTATATAATATATTATTATTATAATACGCTCGTCAGTTATGACCGTTGGGTGTAAACGACCATATATATTATAGAGAAAAAGGTTAGTACGAGACGAAAACGGGTTTCGGCCGATTAAACGCGCGAAATAGATCCATTAATCACTGCGGCGGATTGACGGGCGTCGTCGTCGTCGACTAGCCAGACCTCGGACCGACCGGGTCCCATGCAAATGTCACGTCGGCGGCACAGGTGTAGATCACACGCGGTGGTCATCGCCATTAGTCATCGTGTCCGCGAGTCGGTCCCCCGGACGACGGACGATGACGGACAATGATTACGCGTCCCTTCTATATTTTGTATTCCTCACTATATCTGCGTACGCCGTATATCATTATTATTACTATTATTATTATTACAGTATAATATTGTAATTTCATGATACGTCCGAGAAGAGGCTATTTATCAGTCTTATACGGCGTTGGTGCGAACCGTGACGACATTGTTGATATGTTAAGTATAATAATTATTATGCGCGAGTGTTTTTATATTGTATAGGAAACGGCGGCGACCGTTACAGACAAAAGCAGGAAGAAGCAGCCGGATGACGACTGCTATGACTATGTCGACGGCGACCACCACCACCACCACCACCACCGCCACAGTATAATACGCTTCCTATAGGTCTACGCCTCTTCTTCTGGCCCGCGCAAGTCTTCGCCGTTCCAGGAGAGTCTGACGACGTCGCGGCGAAACCGGTTCGGCGAGCGTATAAATTCACTGACCCCACGCCGAGACCTTGGGAGTTTCTCTACATCGTGCGCCGGTTTTTTTCCTCGGTTTTACACGAGTCTTTCGATTTTTACTCTGAAACGGCGGAGAGCATCCCGAAAAGCGAAAAAAAAAATGCTATAATATATTATATACAATATGATCGTCCGCGTCCCTAGGAAACGATAAATAATAACTCATCGACGGATCGCGCGAAAAGGCGTAATCCACGGGATTATAATAATAACAATGATATAATATCAAATATACGCGGTGTATACCTATTTAAGGGACCGTGAGGGAAACGTACCCCGTAGAGCAGCTGCTGCTGTAATGTGCATACAACTCTTTTTTTCCTCTTTTCCGATTATTTTTTTTTTTCGCGTCAAAGACATTATATAATATAATATTATTATTATACTTTTTTTTGTGCTGAAAACGCGGAATTTCGACCCAAAAAGGGTGACGTAGGTTCTTCTCTTTGTTGTCGTCGTACGAGCACATCCTCATCTGCGCGGGTCGTTGTGCAATCGCGTGCATTTTATATATACAGCTGAACGACGGCAACGATCATAGTGTTCACCTGCAGCAGCAGTCCCTTTCATAATCCCAGCGGTGCACTCACAGCCACCGTCATATTATACGTGGTGATTTTTGGGGCATTTCCACCCTTTTTTCGCGCAAAGGGTTATAGACGGTCGTCATTTCTACGACGCAATTATTGCGTTCATAACATAATACACTGTAACAGCAATGTTATATAAAAGGGTTTTATCGAAGGGTTTTTGACACTTTTGTGGAAACCGGTGGCGCGTGTCGCTCTTTGCGCAATTTCAATGGGACCGACGCCTGCTGCTGCTGCGGCTTTATTATTTGTATTTATGTACGGTTGCATCGAAAGGGTTTGGCGCGCGCGTATATTGCGAAAACAACTTCGCGGACAATGCGCGTGCACGTAAACACACAGATGTTTCCATAATTCTGATGTTTTCGTCGGAAATCCAATACGCGAGGGTAGTACCGCCACCGCCATCGACGAGCGGTTATTAATATTATTATTATTATTATTATTATTATTATTATTATTATTGACGACGAATAGTTACAACAGACGAGTTTTTCGCGACCGACGACAGGAAACACGCGGTGTAAACAATAAAAAAAAAAATTATATAAATAGTTAGCGAACAAACATGACCTATAAATTAAAGAAGAACGAATAGTAAAAAAAACTTGCGGATGTGCTTGCGCAGCCCCCGCGGTTCGTCCTGCTGAGTATTACGTCACGATGGGTAGTTGTGCGCGACGACCGCAATGACGACGACATTGTAGTTGTGTTTGTGGGACGTGGACAGATTTTTATCGCCGTGCAATAGTTGCAATATTAATAATATATAAGATTTCGACTTACGAGACCGACCGACCGACAACGAAGACGTTAATTCGTTATGTTAAATTATTGTTATTATTGTTACTGAGTGTGTTTCTTTTTTTATAGGTATATAAAATATTTAATATAGGTACCCATTATTATATATTATAATGTTATGATCGAGCAGACGGATCCGTTTAATCTTGAAAAACGTTCGAAATCACAACGGTATAATACCTACATGAACCGCGAAACTACATATTATAGAATATTAATATGATTTGCGATTTTAAATTTAAATTTGACATTAAAAACTAATAAAATGTGATTTACTTGTGTGGGTATACCTAAATAATTTTATACTATAATCGTTTTTATGTCGAGTTTATATTTATTATAGTTAACATCGCGTTCTGCGATTTTGTAGACTGTCGGTTTAATGTAATTGAAGTTTGAATACTATTATATTTATGATACGATAACGAAAATATGAAAAATAAAATCATGAGCGAATTTGAGAATATAATAATTCATAATAGTGTAGTACTGTCTTGAATCTTTATAATATTAGTACGATTTTAAATAAACTCTTGAAACTAAAAACTGAAAAGTGAAAACTATTCAAATTTGACTGTTAGTTTTTGTTACCTACTTACTAGGTAATCAAATATAGTAATAATGAATGAGGAAAGTTAGCTCAGTATAAACTATCGTCTATACTAATTACTAAATCAGTATTAGTTTTCATACGAGTCATATACATAGGTAAAACACGCTCGAAGTACATAAACCGTTTTCAAGAGTTTATATACTGCAGGTACGTAGGTCGTTATATAATGTAATAAATGTTCTTTAATTTCAACGGACATCCGGTTCCGGCAATACGCCCACAACCGTATATATGCTATACACACGTTATGCTGTGTGCAGTTTCTTGTATTTATGTTATATATAATATAAAATCAACCAAGCGAGTTTATCCCTACTCGCAGAGATTATTAAGACACTGAGCATATACTTTTTTTAAGCCCGAATCTAATGGTATGTTTTGAAATGGGACACGTTCAATAATAATAGTGTGACATCGTTCATTTTTGTACACATAAAATAAATATAACTGTATTGAGTTTGAAAGTTTTTTCCGTCTGAATCTCCAATGTCTAAAGGATATTTCATTGACGAATTTAGAGGTTCTTTTTTTTCCGGGCACCTACGATATATTAAATTTTGTCGACCCAGATTGGCTCGACAATCTATTGGCTTAATAACGTTATACCTACATGCCGGTATATTATACATATATGTGATTTCCGATTCCGGGGGGTATATTGTTTTACTCCGCGTCTTTACGGCGACAATGACACGATTTTATGGTTTTTTTTTCCGTTTAACGTGTTTCTCGTCGACTATCCGCCTTGGAGGATAAAGAAAAAAGCCGATTCTCCGAGGTCGTTGAATATATCAATCCTAAGGGATTATAATAGGAACCTGTTTTTCGCGCTTGTTCTGATGGTCACTCACCGCCAACTGACCATCGGTCATCTACATACATAAGCATAAGGGGAGACCGATGACCTTTCCCATAAACCTATACCTATAAAACCGATTTTTTTACCAACAGCTGAAAGACGGGAAATAAATCGGTAGTAATTTATTATTTTGTATGTCCGTTATGTCAAAGGTCGCAACCGAATATTAAACTGACCGATGCACACTTGTATTCGTTTATAGCGATTGCGAACAACTATGAAAATACTGTTAAGAAGAAATCAAGCGAGACAACAATTGCGTTTTTAGACATTATAATATACATCAGGGATTTTATATTTTATAATAGTATATATATAATTTATAATACCTCCCTCGGTAGCAGGGAGTAAGCTATTAGTAGATAATAACAAAATGTATGAAAATAATATTTTATAGATTAATAATAATTTAGCTTTTACCTATAAGTTATGAGTTATGACAGTTATATTTTTAGTGTACCTATACTTTAAATTGTAATATTGCTGCAGATCGTTTGAATTGTTATATTGTTATGATTGCATAATAATAAACGTTTGGAATGTCGTAATTGCAGTAAAATGATGCACGCACTCGGAATTATAAATCCTATTCGAATATCCATATTATGTAGGTGTAATATAATTTATTATATACAATTTTTTTACTTTAAGCACCACTATAAAAGAGCGTCTCGCGTTGAAATCAAAAATAATTTTATTCGTAGTCCAGGTGTGTGCGATCTGCGTCGTATACACACATCACGAACACATTTATAATTTAATCGCATATTTTACACGCAAAGTTTGTCGCACTTTATGCGCTCCGCGGCTGGACAATGGTCAGGGGGAGGAGAACCGGTTTCCAGGGTGTATACCTATATTATTATACCGGTCGTGTCCGGTGATGTCCACATCGTGTACCAAAACATGGTCCGCTGACCACGGCGGTGGGGGTAGCGAAGAAACGATATCATGGGCTGCCCATATCCCTCATCGATATTGACCATCGTCCAGCGGTCGAACGGGTTTGACCGCCACGCAAAATATTATAATGTACGCATACGATATTGTTATATATATTATAACCGACGATTCCCAAGGAATGACCAGTGGTCGAAATTTTTTATTGTAGGCAAGCACGGCGATAATCGCCGTTACGTGCGGCAGGGGTGTGTACCGCAGAAGACAATTTTCGATCGACCCCGCGAATAATAGAAATAATAATAATAATATTAAACATATGTGGTGGTTTCCGTCGAAACGGCGAATATTACCGATATGGTCGGGAGTAGGGGGTTATAGTATTGTTTCCCCGGGAGCGCACCGATGGGAACCGAATTTAACGATAAACTTTTTTCCAATAGTTACCTGCCATATAATATACAGTTGACGGGGTCAAGGAAATCGGCATTAAACGCCTGTGTTTTAGGCATTGCGCGTCGTTATAATATTCGTTAAAAATACACGATGCAAAAGTGAAATTTTATTTTTACGAAACTATTTGGCGAGAAAATCATGTATACGAATCGTGGTGTCTTGGGTTTCAAGGCCTCGAGTATATAATTGGCTGTAAAAACGCGTTATATTCTATATTAAACGTGACGTTTGACATACATACGTTTAATATTATTAAAAAATTAAACATTTTATATTATCAAATCATGATGAAGTGCCGGTGGAAATCTTTCTGATAAAATATATAACGCCGTCCGCAGGACAATAGAACTATATGTATATTATGATAAATTATAATACAATATAATTCGACGAACGCGGACAAAGATCATATTATATTTATCATTATTGCCATATTATAATATTGAATATTGATGTATGTGCGTTCTATTATAATCTGTCTGAATGAAATCCTAATGTCAATCGACCAAACAAATAATAAATATTGGTACCTATTATTATAATTAATAACGCAAACGAGTCCATATTATAAAATATTATTATTGCCGTCGTCGCGGGTTTAACGCTCCGAAAAAAAATCATATGGCAAAAGATCGCGTCGATGTATACATATGTACCGGAAACTACCAAATCGCAAAGTGAAAACGGACTTTCTTCGAACCGGCTCTTCCGGTCTCGCTACGCGGCGGCAGTGTCTATATATATTATATAGAATATAATTTATAAATAGATATAATGTTATGCGCGAGAGTCAGGATAAAGCCGCCGCCGCCGTAGTGTAAACAATAGAAAGTCATTGGTTGAAGGGGTATATACTATGTATATTATATTGCTTAAACATATGCATTTATTTATTATAGGTGTGCACGCGCTTCGCCCGGCAGATTTAGGTCACGACTACGAGACGTCGTGACGACACAGCAGCGCGTCATTTTGACGAAACAAAATCGTAATAATGCTGTATAATATAATATGATATTATGTGAACACTCCGCCCGCCAAGATCGTGAATCATATTATTGTGTTAGACGTCGCGACGTAATAGTTTATGAGATTTGACGCCGCTGTGGGCACCAATTTTGATTTCGGCAGCTCATTTGTTAACAGCGTATACGATAATATTATATTATTATATTATAAACCATGTAATAGTGTACCTATACTCTGTGTGACCTACGCCTAGTGACCTACATATTTTGTATTTGGGAAATATTTTATCTACAAGATAATGATCATTGTTACAATATTAAATTATGAGTTATGACTATCGAAAACTCACCAGCATGATGGAATCCGTGCGGCAGGGCGAATGACAACTGTTGCCTGGGAGGCAGATGGTCTGCCGCTCCTGGGTTTCCTACACCGCCGTTGCCGGCGATCCGGAGGTGATCCAGGAAGTCGATGTTCTCGTCCTTTTCATTACCTGCAACGGCAAAAAAAAACATTTACGTTAAGTACTAAAACCGTGCACGTGCATAATTAATAATTATTATCATAGTTTATGCAGTCAAAGGGTATTGTGAGAAATATGACTGCTGCTCGGTGATGAGCTATATAATATATTACGAGGATGTAATTTTATTGAGATCGACCATAGCACGTATTGGTGATAACAATTATATTTATTGTGCCGTTTGAACGACCAAGTTAATGTTTGTTCTAAAGAACCTATCTCATGTTCTTGACGTTTTTCGTTAACTCATTTTTGTATTTGTATTTAAATTATATGATTAATAACTTATTTGTGTTGCATCGACTCTGTTATGACTGTATGAGGTTAAGTTTAGCATATTTCTCGATTAATAAAATATAAAATCGAATTCGATTCGATTCTATAAAAATAGAAACATAGTCAACGACGCTGTCGCCGAGTCATATAATATATCGCAGATACTTAAGTCTCGGCACCGTGGCGACCCTCACCCACCTTACCGCCAGGATTTACGGTCGGGATGGATGGTCGAGGTAGCGGTGAGGCCGCCGACGCGAGGGGGAATAATTGACCGGCAGATACGGCACCGGAAGGGAAAGTGGGTTGAGGCGCCGCCGCCACCGCCGCACGGTTGCCACATCGTTTCCTTGACCCACATTTTCACCTGCTTCCCAAAAGACACGTCTCCCCCGCAAACACTAGAGCATACATATTTTAATAATATATACACTACCGTCGGATATACGTTTTATTATATAGTACTTAACTAGCCATTATAATGCGTACGTAACAGTAGAATATAATATATATAGTATCGAATGTTTACGAACAATCGATAAAGATCTCCCCACCCAGTGTACACTATATTATATTTTAATAACTCGATCGACCATGATTATATTATTATTATTATTATTACCGATGGTGAAAATTAGATCGCTGACGATTTTTTTTTCGGTCACCTCGTATACACACGATCCGGAACAAAGAAAGTGACGACGGCGAATTTCGCGTTTGTTCCGGTATACCTCTATATATGTATACACACACACACCGACACCGCACAAGGCGGTCGTTTTGAAAACGAATCCACTTTCAATGTTTATAACTCGCACAACGCACACATTTCGTCCGCTCTACTGGCAAGTATTTTATCGAGTATAACATATAAACGTAATTATAATAAATCCTATTATATCTATGTATAAATTATTATACCATCGGTGTCGGAAGTTGATGCTATGTTGTACGTTTTGTTTTTCAGTGTGATATTTTTTTTTATTATTCATTTTTCGTTAAGCCTACCTTATTGTGTTGTATCGTGACATTGACTTGAAATATTAAATATTATTATTATCTATGTATTACATCAAGTGGTTTTAAAATAATTACGGCCATTGCCGTATATATAAGACATTGTCCATGTGTTTGTGTGTGAGAGTTTTTTCTAGTTACATGGTGTACTTATATTATGTTCCCCGGAGTCTTAGCCTTGGAAGGCTTATATATATAATTGTATTATGTATCTATTATTGTGTATAGAAATATAGTCCCCACCAAAAAGGGACCGGAAAACTTATGCCAGATAACAGTGGGCGAACACAATTTCTCGCGGCAATCGGGTCAGCGTGTGTTTTGGCATCGGATAAAAAAAATGAAAAAAAAAACGAATAAAAAAGAAGAGTAAAAAAAAAGAACGAAAGAAAGAAAAATTCTGATTCTCTCCGAAAATAAACGTGCGGCAAGACGACCCATTGGTGCGCGGTACACGAGGAATACGAAACTGGGTCAAACGCCCTTAGACCCGAAAAGAAACAGGCCGACCATAAAAAAAATACCCGTGACCAACTGTTGTCTCGGAATTGGGTCACGTACACGTAAGGGGCTAAATCACTATTGTAGACAGTTTTTTTTTTAACTCTTCTCTCCGCGCACTAAACTGTCGTAACACGTGTGTATAATATAATATATTAGGTATTCTTTCTTAACGCGGTTAAATTGACCGGAACAAACGAGTGTTTGAAGAAGAAGTCTTAAGAATACACGCATATTATGGGTTACCACAGCTATATAATAATATATTACGTATAAGAGAGAAAAAGGGATGTGACCAATTGTCGTGCGCATTTGACCCACATATTAGTATCTCGGAATACTATTTGTTTTATATTACGATCGTCGACGATAATATAACATAATAGTCCCGTCGTTTGGGGTTTGAGGTCTACGGCCTCGTGCTCGTAAATGTCTCGCCACGGCCTTGGGGTTGAAAAGGATATTGGTTTTGGGAATTCTGAAGCAGACCAGGACGTCGATAAACAAAATAATAAATCTTGTATTATTTTGTTGTACATAATATTTTACACATCGTAACGTATATTACGATTACCTATATATTATGTTCAAATTTACGTAACCGACCGGCGTGTATTAAAATGAAACCAAAACTGTGAATTCGAAAAACGTCGTGAAGGGACTATGGTGTATGAGAATAATTATCATGTGGTAGTATGAGTATTTCTTTTAATATATTTTGGCGTTAAGTGTTTAGTTTTTTTCAAAGAGACTCGACAGCCGTCCGTCGGTGGCATATTCGCTCATAGGAATACCATAATTTATTATAATATGAATCATTGCACGGCACAACCGTGGTGAGATAATAACACTATATTATATTGTAGTGCTAAAAAGACGATGACGTTATATAATAACGGATCGGTTATTATGACGTTGCGACACTCCACCGACGACGACGACGACGACGACTATAGGGACGCGGCGAACCGACACAATCCGCGCACGTCGATTATACGTCGGTCGTGTTGTTTTAATGGTGTTTGTTGGTTTTTTTTTTGACAACGTGGTTACGTAAGGCTCTATATAACATAACCACCTGGTCGCAGCGTCTAAATAGTTCACGTGAATAACGATAATGCTGCAGCAGTGATATAAACAGCGCGTTTGAATTTATTATAAAATGGGTGTCTTAGGAAGGATCGAGGACCGACGACCGCACGAGAGCTGCAGAGGGACACTGCAGCAAAAAAAAATTAAACCTTATGGTGCGCGCGTCTGACCTAATTCTCTGTCTCGTATATTATTATTATGTGATAGGACGTTATGTATACACGAACGAGAAGAAACGCCCCGTCTTACACCTGTGTGTATATTATAATTTATAATATTATAATTTATACACATCGACGCGGCGAGTACTACTTGCAGCAGCAAGCAGGTCGTCGTCGTCGTCGTCGTCGCCGTCGTCGTCATCGTTACGTTATAAAGATATTTTCAATTTGTTATACGTCGCGAGATGTCGACGCAGGATTAAGCCCACCACACATAATATAGTGCCAAGTCTGTTAAATAAAGCAATTGAAGTAGATTTTATATTTATATTTGAAAATTATTATTGCGAATTTTAATAGACTCAAGTCCGGAAAACAATTTAACTTCATTACAATATTGACATTTCCTAAAAAAGTTTCGTACTTATGTTATATTGCGACTATTACTATAAATTCGGTGCGGTGATGCGCGTTAATAAAACCATGATAATATTATAGATGTCGTTAATACTTTTTATAATGATACAATAATAATAATATGCACGCGCGACCACTGCAGCGGCGATATCGTTAAAAAAAAAAAACTACGACGTTATTACGGATAATATTACTATTATCGTCGTCGTAAATCGGAAATGCCGACTGGGTCATATACGCGAACGAAGTTTCGCAATAACCCCGCATATCTCCACTGCAATGGCACAATCTATATAAAGTTATATATATATAACTCGGCCCTCGGACTTTCACTGAAACGACTTTTGCGTGGGAGTTTTCGGCGAGCACGCTCCCCTCGCCGCCCGCCTATGTAGACGCGTGGCACAGGGTAGACGAGCAGACGGGCGGGCGATGACGGCGGGCAGACGCTAGTCTCAAGGCTGTGTTCCGCCCTCGCCCTATTTTCGCGCGCGCGGGTCAGACGCACCGGAGACAGACGCGGCGTGCTAACCTAACCGTCGACGCCGACGCCACTGCCGACCCTGCTACCACCCTCGGCCGCACCGATACCTACCCTTCGAACGAGGCGTTTTTTCGCCGGCAATCGATAACAGCTGATTTCGGTCTATCCACCCCCCGCGCCACGCGCCGGCCCATTCAACCGGTGCCCGGAAAACGTCGTCGCGACCACCGTCGACGAATATTATTTAATATATTATATAAAAGCGCATCTACACATAACATCTGGGCGGGGGCGTGCGACACCTCCTGCATTATTATACCTATACAAACTTAATAATACCCACGGCAGCTATCATATATGCCGTCGATTTCCTATGAAACCGGTTGCGGGGTCGTAATAACTATGATAAGATAAACATTATAATACAATAATATGTAAATGGGAGCAAAAGTGAAAACGACCTTGTTTCGCGAGTTGCAACGGCGCGGCGATGAGCCAATGCCGGCGCGGTGTTGACGGAATCCGCCAACCCGGCGGAATTTCACTCGATTTCCGCGCCCGCAGATAGGTACGAGCGTGTATAAGAATATAATATATATATATAGCTAGTGTATAAGAGTACGCTTTAGACATTTGATTTAAGAGGAAAAGTAAATACTATGCTTTACTTACATAACTATATTATATAGTAGATAAGATATATTATTGTGCAGTGACACAATAAAAAGTGAACTGACTATATATTATAAACTATACATACACGTAGTGCGAGTGGCGAGTCATATGATGACGTCGATGTTCGCGCGAGGGTATAATATCATATCGAGTGCGGTGTCGCGCAAGCTGTAAGGGTGTAACATATATAGTATACGTGGGTGAGGTAAAACGTTATGTAGGCATCGTACGACGATGGGTCGGTTCGCACGCGGGGGTAGACGCCCGGTGATCGATCCTTGTAGCGGCGTCGACGGCGGCAGCGCGGTGGCCGGGACGACGGGGGTGTGAGCCGGGCGCCGGCGGAC